GCTCCCACCGAATTGTGTATGTACCAGAGGTGCGAGTAATATAATAGAGCTTCAAGTTATGGACGTGAATTACACCTAGGTGGAAGGGAGGTTATGAAGGAGATAAACGATATGATACGAGATTTTAAGTAAGTAAGGTAAAAGTGAACAACGTACGAGATACTCAAATGCAAGAAGTTGTGAATAGTCCATATTTTGGATAGAAGGCTATAAACACAGAAGTCCAATAACCATGAATGATAGCGGCATCGTCAGCGGCATGTCTTCCAGCCTATGGTTTCTAAGTACTGAGAGATCTAGTTAAGAAAGTAAAGAAAAGTTGGAGACAATGTGATGTCTCGCTTAAATATGATATGAATAATAGTCTCAAAGCGAAGCATTATATAGGTAAGTATGAACATACGGTAGCACTTCAGAGATGCAGGTTGATTCTTATATGTCTGTAATTAATGTTGACTTATTGTTATATTTTAGTCCTGCCTTACATACTCAGTACATTATTCGTACTGACGTCCTTTTGTTGGGGACGCTGCATTCATGCCTGCAGGTATAGATAATTAGTTTGACAAGCCCTCATCGTAGACGAGATTGGCATTCAGTGAAGGATCGGTAAGACTCCATCTCATTCGGAGTGCAGCCGAGTCTATGAGTCATCATGTCAGTGTTTTGCTACAGACTTATGGGTAGGCTGGTACCCTGTCCCATTTGATGTCAAGTTATCTTAGAGGCTTTGTAGACAGACGTTCATTTTGTACAGTATGTCAGAGGCCTTGACGGACCATATGTATTCATGTTTTAAGAAAAATTGTTCATTGATGTAGTGTATGACCACTTATAGTTATACATTGTGAGTTGTGGACATGTTGGCCCATGATGATCACAGAAAAAAAAAAGAGTTACAGAGTGGTTCGCTCGGGCCAGCTCGGCACCGAGTGCCAGCCACGCCTCTCCAGGTTCGGGACATCACAAAGTGGTATCAGAGCAGTTCTGTCCTAGGGAGTCTACAAGCCGTGTCTAGTAGAGTCTTATTTATGGGTGTGTCGTGCACCACACTTATAAGCAGGAGGCTACAGGGCATTTAGGATTGTCACTCTTTCTTCTTACTCTAGATCGTGTGGTAGATTCCACTTATAAGAATTCAAGTTCCAAAATTCTATTTTGTTCATAATAAGGCGATGCCTACATCCGGAAAGAAGGATTGGAAAGAGATATAGTTGTGGAAGGGCTGAGTCAGAGGAATTGGAATTTTTGTATGATGCCTACGATAAGTAAATATAAGGTCTTTAGCAGATCATGAGTGTACTGAAAGGTGTAAGCTTCCTGATAAGAAGCCTTAAGGCAAGAATGCCTATCCACTTTTATGGTGAAAGACAATGAGAAATTAAAAAGATAAATACAAGTTTCAACAAGCAAAAGAAGCAAGACGAAGAAGGGTACGAGGCACCCAGTTAATGAAGGTTAACAACGTTTATAATTGAGGCAGAGAAACATAAGTTTTTTTGAGTTATATTCAATAATAATAGAGATATATACAATTGGTCGCACCTCTTCCAGATATGCCCTATGGGGGTTAACAAAAGCAGTATAAGAATATGATGGATGAATTGATTGCATCAGTTGACATTTCCGAAGGATATTTCAAATGTGCTAATAGATCTCTTTATGAGACACCTAGATGGTGCACTCTAAAATAGTGCAGCCAGATATGAGTATTACAAAGACATGCACTATAAGCCTTGAAGGGATAAATATTACCTTAGTATGGCTCGCGTCCCTAGTAAAGCGAGAACGTTAAGCAACTTGAAGAGCCACTAGATGGAGCAAAGGAAAGCTAAAAGCGAAAGAATGTCGTATTGAAGTTTTCACAAGAAAAGAGATAGCAGAAATATTAGCAAAGTAATGAGAAGAGAGATATGGAAGCATTATGAATAAGGTGTGATACATGGATGAAAACGGTAGAGTGTTACAGAACCTATAGTCAAGTGAAGGAAGAGATGAAAGGTGATGGGCCTTAAGACAACAGAAGAGTATAGGCCATAAGGTTATATCCTCATTTTGAGAAATAAGTTCGTGACTTCAACGCGACTACCAGAGGGGAGAGTTAATCCCCAGAGTAACAGAAATCAGTATGGATTGGTAAACCAAATAAACTAAACATGAATTAGGGACTGAGTGACTGGTGATAGTCGCCATCATAAGAACTTCAAATTTTGTTCCGCTAATAATAGAATGGACGACAAAAGAAGATTCATGAGAAATTCAGAGAATGATCATTCAGGAAGGCGCTTCCCTAAAGCAAGCAATGTAAGCAAAGTTCAGCTTAAGGGACTGTATGTACCAAAGGTGCGAGTACTATAATAGAGCTTCAAGTCATGGATGTGGATTACACCTAGGTGGAAGGGAGGTCAGGAAAGAGATAGAAGATACGATGCGAGATTTTCAGGTAAGTAAGGTAAAGGTGAACAACGTACGAGATACCTAAAGGTAGAAGATCGTGAATAGTCCATACTTCGGATAGAAGGCTATAAGCACGGGGATCCAATAACCGGGAATGATAGCGGCATCGTCAGCGACATGTCATACAACCTATAATTCCTAAGTACCGAGAGATATAGTTAAAAGAATAGAGAAAACTTGGAGACGATGTGATGTCTCGCTTGAAATTCCAGAATAACATGAGGAAATCTATGGTGCAAGCAAGTTGAAGGAAAGTTTATATATGTATATGTATAGGTCGCAAGCTAAAATATGGTAGAGCGACAAAATTGTAAGGAAACATGAGTAAGGATGAGGAATGGCAAGTGAAAAGGTGACGAGAATGGATAAGTCCTCCGGATTAAGTCCATGAGAATAAGAGAGATAATGGTTTCTCTAAGTTATTGAAAGTTCAGAATAGCTTGAGTGAACTCAAAGAAATCTAAAATTAATAGCATTTAGAAAGAATGAAATGCTGACCTAGTAATAAA